CATCACAATCCATCATGGCGGATGTTTTAAATGGAACTTAGAAAGTTCCGCGGTTTGGGCTCAAGTTTTAGAGGTCTGCAACTATCAAAAGTCGAAATAATATCATCGAAGACAGTCTCGTTTTTATGAAGAAACTATTCTCTTACAGGTACTAGTTTGACATGGTATGACGTTATGTCTGAAATTTCGCTGTCGTGGGCCAAATTTGTTTCTCACTGGCGACGAAAATCACTGTAACCATATGAATCGTTCCGATTTTTGATAAACATCGTTACTAGTATTGCATGTTTTGCCACTATGAGCGCCCATGCTGTTTATTGTTAGTGTTGACACCTACCATTTGCCGTAAGAATACTTAGGGCCCTTCCCCATATTAAACTCTAATCCTGCCCCTCCAGACCACACGTCCACCCCCAGCCCCTCGGGTCACTTAAATGTTCCTTAATTTGACAATTGTTGCAATGTAACATGTAATGTTTCTCAATCCCTGTTAATTGCATAGAAATTACATAGCCAGTTTTCTTCAAAATACTTTTATGTCGACCAGATTCAATGGAAGGAGAACGTGTAGAAGTTCTAAATTTAGTATAAGCTATTCTACAATTTTAATTTTATGTAAAATAATGTTCAAATTCAAAATTGTCTTTAGAATATCTGTAAAGGTTAAGAGCTTACAATTGTTCAATAACATTTTGTTTTCACTTCATATGGTACAATCATTTGAGCTTATCTTTAAAAATATCAACAACAAAATTCTGATGTACTGCTAGCTCTGAATTAGTCAAATCGGTTATTGCTAACAAAATTTGGATAAACTATAACTTATGGTTTATATTGAATGACATATTGAATAACATTGGGGGGCTGGAGTGTTAGAGTTAAGTTAGGGGTGAAGGTTTTTTTTTTAATGTTAAAAAAAACACATAAAATTCATGCATTTCTGTCATTTCGTTTCTAGATCTGTTCAAACATGTTACGGACATAATGGGACACTGATGCACAGCATTTTGTTTTTTAGATTGGATTTAAAATGGCCAACTGTTGGACATTTTGTAGGAACAAATGTGCTTACAGAGGCATATCTTTAACATGCCTTGCCTGATTGCCATCAAACTGTACACCTTACATATATTGACATGTATGCATTTCATGTTTTGTTCACTCTTTCACAACAGGGACTTGACACGATTTGCCTACCTCTAGTATGTCCATCCCACTACAGTCATCTTTGTGCAGCTAGCAATGCATACCATTAATGATTTTGTAATTGAATTTAGATATGACTGAGGGTTCCGTGATCAGACGTCTTGATGAGACTGTTGTTAATAGGATTGCAGCTGGTGAAGTAATACAGAGACCTGCCAATGCTATCAAAGAAATGATAGAAAACTGGTAAATATAACACAACTGTACTTTAAATTATAGGTGTGATTAATTGTTTGTGAATGCAATAATTAAGAAACAAAATTAAATATCTAGAAATATGGTAACACAAGAAACACAAACCCATGTGGATTAGTCTGTGAAAGAAACACAAACCCATGTGGGTAAGTCTGAATCGTTATTTATTAACACAGTCCCCACAAAAACAAAAAATAATATTGAAAGCAGAAATAAGTCAGCGGTGCGCGTTCAGTGTCTAGTCCAAAACAAAATGCGATAGGGTACATTCTGAGCTGAATAAATCATGTATGTATCATTGCCACTGAATCGGGATTGAATGATCTGATGTTTACGCAAAGGTGATAATTGGTCACATGCTGTAAAATATGTCTTTTTAGCTAGCATGTTATTTTAGCTAATTTAGCTAATCTGTAATTTCGCTAATTCAACATTTAGCTAATTTAACAGAAAGTATATTCTCACAGGGAGATAGTCGACAATTAAGATTAAAATGAATGATAAACTTTGGTCATTAATTGGTGTGTTTATTTTTAGTTGTACAGGGGTTCATGTGCCAAATGCATGATGTCATCCTGCACATAAAGTGACAGTCATTCACATCAATTACAGATGACTTAATTGTCTATAAAAAAAATACTGAAAACTTCTTGTTAGCTGCTGTCTGGACACAGCTGACATAACAAAATTTGAACTGTTTATCCCACTTTTTCCCTGTCTGTTTTGCTTTGTCTTGTCTTGGTCACAGTCCCTGCCCTTAGCTCCCACTCACAGCTACTCAATTTTCTTCATTGTTGACATAGCTACATAGTACATTGTAGCTACACCTTTAGTGCAAGGCTTGAAGGTTCAGGCATGTGTTTATTGCAGTCTTTCTGCATTGGGTATGGACATCCAGATGTTAGATTTTAACTTTAACCCGGTTCTCTGGCAGACTTTTCCTGTCTCAAAGGTGGTGTATCAGCCAGGTGGGTGGGATTTCACATGTCAATTTAACAACAGGGCTAGTACCTGCAGCTTGTAATATGGTAATTTTTGTGGATCTTCTTCCTTAATCCTAATCTTGTCAGCCCCATATACTTTTACATTAACTTAACATATACAGGTTAGCCATTCCTGTCTGCCCTTCCAAAATGCATGCTTTGTCATCAAGTTATCAAGGATCAAGTAAATACATCGCTACCATTCACTGTTTTGTAGATATCATAAATCAGTTCACATATAAGCAAAGGCCATCAAGGATTGCCAGTGGATATGGGTTTGTTCACTTGAGAAATGCCAGTGTGTAGTCCAGAGAGAGACGCATTATCTCTCAAAAACACAAAGTTGAAGATATAGAAATTCATATTTGCCTCTTAATAAAACAAAGTTGTATAATAGTACAATATGTAATTCAATGAAGCTTGGATAGTGTTTATCCCACAAATAGCTGGATGCATCATTTGTTATGAGAAGAAGAAAGGTGTGCACTGATTGAAACTCTGTGTTCAAATCATCATAGGGGAAAGTCTAATTTTTTTCCGGGGTAATGCATTGCTGCATAATATAAGAATGTGTCACTGCTTGCACATCTCTCTACATTATGATGTGTCAAGGATTGCCGCACCACATCAATTTTGATACCATAAAAGGAAATAGTCTGAGCGATTTCACTCTATGCATTGTCACTATATATGAATGATTGATTTTCACTGAATTCAGACAATGATCTTTACATATCATCATAAATTTTTTGCTCCATGTACGACCTCTGATTTCATTATCTCGAAAACAACGTTTATTTCATATTTTAAGTAGTTGCTTGAACCTGACAAATTCACTTTCTTTTAAGTTATAGAAATATGGTTTATTAAAATCAATTGGGCATTTTCTATTCAATTTGCTATAAAAATATAAGTTTCTACATCTGTATTATTTTATTTGCTTTATGGATCTGTGATCTTTATGTTTTTTGCCATAAACCATAATTATTATTACTGTGTTTTATTTTGTTGTGTGTTATAAATGTACATAGTGGCATGGTTCATCGATTTTATGAAATATTCTGATGCTATGTGCACTGTTGGATCTTTTCAGTCTTGATGCTAAGTCTTCAAATATTCAAGTAACAGTGAAATCTGGTGGGTTAAAGTTGATACAAATACAAGATAATGGTACAGGTATCAGAGTAAGTATCCACTTTACTGGCATTCCCATGTCTACTAAC